GTAAGCAGTGACAGCTGGGTAATTAATGCTCCAGGCTGCATTCTAGAGGAAACTAGAACACACACAGGTGCACACAAAGTCATGGCTGCTCCCAGGTTGTAAGATGGCTGAGAAGAGAGAGATTGGACTGAGTGGCTCGGAGGGGAAGACTGGGTGTGTGTGACGCTGCCACCGATGACAGGCGTCTAGACAGTGCCCATATGGCCTGAAAAATGTGCCTCAGGCCCGCAGCCAACTCTGGTCAGGAATAAACCTGTCCTTATCTGTCGGTTTGTGTGTGTGCGGCGGGGCTGATATTTATCTGTGTGTCTGTCTGCTTCAGTTTTCTTCTTCCTGTGTTTTGTGTCTGAAGGAGAGAGACAGAGGAACAGGTGTGTGTCTGTGTGTGTTTAACCAGACAGTCACAAGGGGTCTGTCGGCATTTTTTTCTTAGGGCACAGAGAGAACGAAGTGTGAGGCACACACACACACACACACACACACAGTGAACTCTGATACTGCTCTAACAACAGTGAGCTCTGGAACAGGATGTGGTAGACTGCAGACAGGGCGGACCCACTGACTGGTGTCTGTGTCTCTTTCTCTTTTCCTCCCTTGTTCTCTGTCTGAGAGAGAGAGAGAGAGAGCGAGGGAGAGAGAGAATGCTAACCCAAACATAGTTTTACTTCCTTGTAGAGCCAGCTAGGTAGAGACCAGCTCCTGTGTCTTTCCCTGGCCCCTTCCTCTTAATCCTCTAGAGTCTTAAGCCCTGTCTAAGCTGGGTGGGGGTGGGCTTCTAAGGTAACATATGGAATTGTTTTAAGATAGTCATACCAATTATAATTTAGCTGTTTGATTTTCAATTTTAAGACCCCTTAAGGTATCAGAAAAAAAACATGGAATTTGGCATTACTGCTATTAGCCAATATAAATGCATTAAATAACAGATTCACTACATTGAACAACAGATAGTCCCCCAAAAAATCAAAAGGAAGTTTGTTCTGAAGTGTCTGTCATATATGAGAGATATAAGAAAGATCAGGAAACTATTTTAATGTATTTTCTTTTACATGTATTTATCCCTTTATTTTAGGCACTAAACTATCTCCATATACAGTGCATTTGGAAGACCCCTTGACTTTTTCCACATTGTGCTATGTTACGGCCTTATTCTGAAATGGATTAAATTACATTTTCCCCTCATCAATCTACACACAATACCCCATAATGACAAAGCGAAAACAGGATTGTAGAAATTGTTGCTAATTTATAAAAAATAAACAGATACCTTATTTACATACGTGTTCAGACCCTCGTGTTGGTGAGAGTCTCAGCTTTCCACAGAGTGGTCATATTAGTGTGTAGTCCAAACCCGTTCGGACGCTACAGACAGAAGTTGGCAGAAGAAGCTGTACCAACTTCAGAGTCTTGTGAGGCTTGTGGAGAATTGAACAAGGGTGCTCGCCTACCTTTGACCTTTGCTTGAAAAGACCTTTGCTTGAAAAATGCAATAGTACTGTTTGTCCATCTTGAGACGCTGTAGCCAGTATACACTTCCTCAAAATAGTCAGAATTAATCTAAGATAACTCAAGAAATCTGTCATTTAATTTGGACGATTTTGCCGAGATCGTAGTTTTGCAATTTTACATCTAACTAGGATGTTTGGTGCAGTATTCCTCAAGTGAAAAAATCGGCATGAAAACGAGTTGTCTATCATTGAATGACAAACACTTAATTGAAGAATCCTTAGTGTTGACCAATCACAGACGAAGGCGCGTAGACTTCGTCATCTGAATTTCAGCTTGCCTCGAGGCAAAAAAAATTGTGCGCACGAAAAACCCTTGCCGAAGGCCCAAACGAGCAAAAACATCACAAAATGTCAAAGTGTAGGTGATATGCATATTGGCCACAGTCTCCATGTCCAAACCGATACTGACATTAGGGAGGCGCCAGAAAATGTAGCCAAATTGTAATTGCTTTTAATTGTATAAATATATGCTAAATGGCAGTCATGTTTGACAAATATAATGAAGGATAATTAACGTCTAAAGTCTTGATTCTGTCGACGTACTCGAGGCACGGTTCGTTCAGATCAAATGGTCACAATACTGGAGAGTGAAGGACAGTGCCTCTGTTGCGCACCGCACATTAATCTGAACTGAGACGGTCAGAATTTTGAAACTATCTAACCAGAAACGTAATTGTTTAAAACCTGGACGTTTTATATCATTTTATGAAGCATGTCTTACCTTGTTTCAAAGTAGCCTAGCCAAAATACGACCATAGAAATATTGAGGAATGACTTTATAAACACTTAATATGCCATTGAAACCAGCATTTTTCTCATGTTCTTTTGGTTTTCAAATCAACTTTATTTTATTGTCCAACAGCAAAGGCATAATCCTAACCATATAAGTAACCCATGCTAGTTGATGCATCGTTAGATCTCCCCTCTCTTATTTTCTAATGGATATTTTAATCTCTGTCACATGAAACCACTCACGAGTGCGGTGCGCTTTTGAGAACAGTGTTTTCCCACTAATTGCATTTTATCAAAAATATTTAACTAAACAGTCTTATCTGTTGCATCAGCCTCATTGCTTTTTAAAATATTTTAATGTGCAGCTGTTGTACAGTTCTGTCGTCCCAGAACTGTCCCAGAGTTTTGAACCTTATACATATTTTTTTATCGTCCCAGGGACTACAGGAGACCGTTAATTTCGAGCCCTGGATGGAATTATTTTAATAAAGACAAGTATTTGGTTGTAATTGTAATGTTGCAATATTTTATTGGCTACTAAGGGTGACCATTCTGGCCAACCATCCTCCAGTAGAGCCTTAAAGGGGCAGTGTTGTATTGTGAGACGGGTTTGAATATGCAAAGAAGCCAATAGGCAGAGTGTAGCCTACATTTCTGTCTGATTCTCTATGGTAAAACAGTATAGTAATGCAAGTATGTGGACACCCCTTAAAATGAGTGGATTCGGCTATTTCAGTCAGGTTGTACAAAATACTTTTTTAGCACGGCTGTGCTGCGGTCTTATGTACGAGGCTCTACCTCGTACCGTAGATCAGCACAGCCGTGCTAAAAAAGTTGTTTTGCACAACCTCGAGTGTACAATTTGCTTTTCTACAATGGGTTACCAATTAAATAATAAAGCAATTGTGCACAAGAGGGCGTGCTAAACAACTTTTTTAGCAGGCTGTGCTGCTGTCATATGTACGAGGCTCTACCTCGTACCGTAGATCAGCCCAGCCGTGCTTAAAAAGTAGTTTTGCACAACCTCGAGTGTAAAATTGCTTTTCTACAACCGGTTACCAATCAAATGAAAAACATTATATTATAGGCTGCTATTTCATCCCTCAACAAAAATATAGGCCTAGTCCTGACACATCTATGCTTGCTAGCCCAAATCGGCTGGCCGTTCATTCTATTGGTTAGGTTGCCAGAGACGAGATCCAGTCGTTAAGTCTTTTTGTTCTATATCTATGGACACGACCCAGCCGTTCGTTCTAAATGTTCGCTCTTATCCCTTGCTTGCTAGCTAGCCAACTACGGCTAACAGAGTCAGGTCAAACAGTGCAGCTAGAATAACAGTAAAGGAGCCGCATTTGCGTTTGTTTAAGCTGTTTTGGATACATCCATAACAATGAGCTAATGATGCTCTCTTGTCAGGACACATTCAGAGGAGCTAGCCAACTACACAGCTAATGCAATCACTTCAAACTGAAGCTGGTAAGACCGCAAACTAGCTGCATTTCATGTCGTTTGACTTGTTTTTCAATTGACACTTCTTTGTATCCAGAAAATTATGCTGATTCATGATTTCGACTGGCTGAGAAAATATGTCAGTCTCGTCCTGACACGTTAATTCTCAATAATATAGTGGAGATTGAATTTCAATATTGAAACTATTGAAAACATATTATTATGGGATCATGCATTAACTTCTCCAGCTTTACATTATAGTAATCGAAATTGTGTTGCGTTGTAGTGTAGATAGGGAAGCTACATGTTTTAATTTCAACTGCTACAGGTTTTAGAAGATAAATACATATTTCTTTCCATTACAGACACTGTAATACATACTTTTTTTAAACAATACATAGTATTGTATGAACTGAAAGAAGCCAATCATTTCTCAATAATTTTTTTAAATATATATCTATTTTTTGAGTCCCCACTACAACAAATAAATAGTTATATGCATGTATTCTTGTCCTTGAAAAATGACATTGAAATACAATAAATTCCCATGAATTCCTATGGAGGCTGTTCCTTAGGAGTATCATAATGGCGGACAGTGACTTCAGAACAGCGCCCTCTGTCATTCATCTAGTGAATACATATATATCATTGGTCTGACCCTCCTCAGCAGTGGAGAAGATGTGGAGTGGAGACCCTGGCAGTGTGTGTGTGTGTGTGTGTGTGTGTTTGTGGCTGGTGGATTATAACAGTAGGGGAGAGCTGGGCCTGTGCCTAGAATACTAATCCACATTGTCATACAGCTCGCTGGGGGGGGTCTGGGGAACCTGTGTGTGGGGTGTGGGGGGGGGAATTAGCAGTCTCACACATAGCTACTTGTATATAAGCACACATGCTCACACACATCAGTTTGTGTGTATGTATATGTTACATTTTATTTGAGAGTTTATTAGTCACATGCACAGGGTCACAGATGTGTCCTGGAGTACAGGCGGTGTGCACCCAATGGTGCGTTGGGCTGAGTGTACCACCCTCTGTAGAGCCTCGTGGTCCGCGGCGGTGGAGTTGCCGTACCGGGCTGTGATGCAGTCCGAGAGTATGCTCTCTGGTGCTCCTGTAGAACACTGTGAGTGCCCTCTGGGATGTGCACAGAGTTCTAATGGTTCCCTGTTTCTCCCTGGGATTCCTGGTTTGACAGAACACCCACCGCGCACGCACAGACACACACAGCTTTGTAATGAGTTATATTGTCCTAATGGAGAGGCCTCTAAATGACCTGGTGTTGTTGTTTGTCTGGTCTAATATGAGAGGGAGATGGAGGTGATGGAGAGAGCAAGGGAGTTGGTGAGAGGGAGAGAAAAAGTGGGAGAGAGGAAGGGAGAGAGAGGGACAGGCTTCCTCACCACTGCAGTGGCTGATTTTGTTGTTGCTTACATCCCCCCCTCCCTCCCTCCTATCCTCCCTCCCTCCTCTGCTGCAGTGTGCACTGCCTCTGAGAAAAACAGCAAACAATCTCAGACACACACACACACACACACAAACAGACAGCGCTCCCCATACACACACACCCACACACACACACCCACTCAGGAACATTCACACTGGCTCAGGCGAGAAGGTGTACTCTTTTCTGCATTAGTACATCACACACCCGACCACACATACATGTAAACACACACACGGCCAAGCCCAATGCAAAAACACACATATACACCTCTCTCTCTCTTACCTACTACTGGCTACTCTCGCGCTCTCCATCCCTCCTTCCCCTGGCTGCGTGTTAGAATTGTTATTGAGCCGCAGAACTGTCTTGTTGCATTAGTGCTGTGTGTGTGTGTCAGCCCTGTCTGCCCGAGATGAGCATTAGCACATCAGCTCATGGCCTCTTGCTGAGAGTGACCTGGATAAGCACACACATGCACACAACCGGCAGCAGCTCCAGCAGTATTTACCGAACACACACTGAGCCGAGAGCGTGTGAGACAGAATGACTGAATCATGTACATGACACACACAGTCTATCATGGGTGCTCCCAGGTTTTAAGATGACTGAGAGGAGCAGAGAGAGATTGGACTGCGTGGCTGGGAGGGCCAGACATTTTTGTTGTAGCCCCGGGCAAAAAAAACCTGATGCCTGTATGTGCAGTTAATGCCGTTTTCCCCAAAAGATTAATTGAAAAGTCCTGGAAAATAATGTATTGAAAAAGGTGGAAGCCTCTGGCTAACCTGCGCCATAACACATAGAGGCCCATCTCGTTCTCTCTCCAGTGTCTAACCCTCCTCCTTCTCCCTTTCTCTCTGTGTGTTTCAGAAGGTGGAAGATGAGGACAAGGACAGCCTGGTGAGGAGATCGCATTCTCCTGAGCCTCTGGTGTCTCCTAACAGCAAACTGTCCGACAGCGACGCAGCAACCAAGGTACCACACACACCACACACAAACACACACACACACACACACACATGCCACAAGGTACGACACACACACACACACACACACACACACACACACGCCACAAGGTACCACACACACCACACACAAACACACACACACACACACACACATGCCACAAGGTACCACACACACCACACACACGCCACAAGGTACGACACACACACACACACACACACACACACACAGGAAGCAGTCTACTGCTCACGTTGACAACGTAGCAGGTTGAATTGACTACACTCACCCCTCCCCCTAACCTTCCTTGAAACCCCCTATGGCCTAACCCAACCCCCCTACCACGTAACCCCACACAAACTGGGGTCAGCCCCTAACACACTCTCCTCTTCTCAAACACGCACACACAACTATAGCTACAAACTTTGACATTCAGATATAGGTTTTATATACTAACTAATACAGATATCTCTTCTTTTTGGTTTTATCTACATGTGCTATTTTTTATCTCCAGTATATTAACGTGTGTATTAATGTATTATTATGTTGTTTACAGGCTAAAGCCCAGGCTACTCTGGTGTTCAACCGCCTGTTCCCCCACATTAAGGAAGAGCCTGGTCACCCTACCATGGTCCATCCCAGGTATGTTTGTTTTCCTATTTGGATGTCTTTTAGCCCACAATGGAGGCTAATCTTCCAAGAGTCCTGGGGACTGGCTAGCTACAGTATGTTTCTTCCTCCTGGGAAGACCTGACCCTTGAGAATCCATTCCAAGTAACTTTCCCAACATCATCTCAGGGACCGTTGCTGGAGCAGTGCTGAAACCCTGCTCGGCCCCCTACTCTACCTCCAGTTGACCCTACCTTGGTGTGTGTCAGTGTGACTTTGTGGTCTTCTGCTCAGTAATCGGCTCCAGATTCAGGCGGAGACTAGCTGGTTTATAGGAGGCATGGCAGGGCAGGGCAGGGCAGCATGTGACCACAGGGAGGAAACAGAAAGGCTAGACTATGGGATTAAAACTGACCGCTCAACAGGACATGTCTGCCTTAGACTACAGACTCAGACCCAACCAGACCAAAGCTGGTTTCCCGCATTCAGTGGTTTTCACAATGGTCGTTACTGGATTGCAACGTTAGAACCAAGTGTTTTATATAACACCAGTGAGTCTCGCTAACCTGTGAAAACATGCCCCATATTAAAGGTGCACTATGCAGAAATGGATCTGCCATTTCGTGGTTGCAAAAATTCTAATAGTTTTGGGCCTCCCGAGTGCTGCAGCGGTTTAAGGCACTGCAATGCAGTGCTGAGGCCTGGGGTTGGAGTCCTGGGGCCGTGTCCGGGAGCCTCATAGGGCGGCGCACAATTGGCCCAGCGCCGTCCGGGTTAGGGGAGGGTTTGGTCGGGGGGCTCATCACGCTCTAGCCACTCCTTGTGCCGGGCCGGGCGCCTGCAAGCCGACTTCGGTTGTCAGTGGAACAGTGTTTTCTCCGACACATTGGTGCGGCTGGCTTTCCGGGTTAAGCAAGCAGTGTGTTAAGAAGCAGCGTGGCTTCCCAAAAAGTTACATATTGCAGCTTTAAAGAGAGAGTTACCATAATTGATGTATCAATTTTAGTGCAACTTGGATGCTAAAAATGCACAAGTTGTATACGTAGAATAACGGTGTGCATGTGTCTCTGTCGCTCTGTACCTGTATATACATTTGATAACCATCTACTCTCTCTCTCTCTCTCTCTAGTCACTTCCTGTATACGTATGATAAGATGGTGGCTCCTAACGTGTCTCTGAGGGGACAGTCGGCGGTCAGCCCTGAGGTACTGGGGGTACTGCTCAAACACCACTACAGCAGGAGACTGACCCAAGGCCACGACGACACTGCTATGGGTCAGTACCACACACAGACGCGTGAACACACACACACAGACGCCACACATGGATGAATCCCCCCCAGCTCTGCTGTAGTGTCAGTCATGCTGCTGCGCCCTCCTGTCACACATACACTACCAGTCAAAAGTTTGGACACACCTACTCATTCAAGGGTTTTTCTTTATTTTTACTATTTTCTACATTGTAGAATAATAGTGAAGACATCAAAACTACGAAATAACACATGGAATCATGTAGTAACCCAATTTATTTTAAACAAATCAAAATATATTTTATATTTGAGATTCTTCAAAGTAGCCACCCTTTTGCCTTGATGACAGCTTTGCACACTCTTGGCATTCTCTCAACCAGCTTAACCTGGAATGCTTTTCCAACAGTCTTGAAGGAGTTCCCACATATGCTGAGCAGTTGTTGGCTGTTTTTCCTTCACTCTGCGGTCCAACTCATCCCAAACCATTTCAATTGGGTTGAGGTTGGGTGATTGTGGAGGCCAGGTCATTTGATGCAGCACTCCATCACTCTCCTTCTTGGTCAAATAGCCCTTACACAGTCTGGAGGTGTGTTGTGTCATTGTCCTGTTGAAAAACAAATGATAGTCCCACTAAGTGCAAACCAGATGGGATGGCGTATCGCTGCAGAATTCTGTGGTAGCCATGCTGGTTAAGTGTGCCTTGAATTCTAAATATATCACCGACAGTGTCACCAGCAAAGCGCGCCCACACCATCACACCTCCTCCTCCATGCTTCACGATGGGAACCACACATGCGGAGATCATCCGTTCACCTACTCTGCGTCTCACAAAGACATGGCGGTTGGTACCAAAAATCTCAAATTCGGACTCATCAGACCAAAGGACAGATTTCCACCGGTCTAATGTCCATTGCTCGTGTTTCTTGGCCCAAGCAAGTCTCTTCTTCTTATTGGTGTCCTTTAGTAGTGGTTTCTTTGCAGCAATTCGACCATGAAGGCCTGATTCACGCAGTCTCCTCTGAACAGTTGATGTTGAGATGTGTCTGTTAGTTGAACTCTGTGAAGCATTTATTTGGGCTGCAATTTCTGAGGCTGATAACTCTAATGAACTTATCCTCTGCAGCAGAGGTAACTCTGGGTCTTCCTTTCCTGTGGCGGTCCTCATGAGAGCCAGTTTCATCATAGAGCTATATGGTTTTTGCGACTGCACTTGAAGAAACCTTCAAAGTTCTTGACATTTTCCAGATTGACTGACCTTCATGTCTTAAAGTAATGATGGACTGCCGTTTCTCTTTGCTTATTTGAGCTGTTCTTGCCATAATATGGACTTGGTCTTTCACCAAATAGGGCTGTCTCCTGAATACCACAACACAACTGATTGGCTCAAACGCATTAAGAAGGAAATAAATTCCTCAAATTAACTTTTAACAAAGCACACCTGTTAATTGAAATGCATTCCAGGTGACTACCTCATGAAGCTGGTTGAGAGAATGCCAAGAGTGTGCAAAGCTGTCATCAAGGCAAAGGGTGGCTACTTTGAAAAAGATCAAATATCAAATATATTTTGATTAGTTTAACACTTTTTTTGGTTACTACATGATTCCATATGTGTTATTTCATAGTTTTTATGTCTTCACTATTATTCTACAATGTAGAAAATAGTAAAAATAAAGAACCTTGGAATGAGTAGGTGTGTCCAAACCTTTGACTGGTACTGTATATTAATACATTAGTGCGTTAAAGTCCCAGGTCGCGTCCCAAATGGCACCCTATTTCCTATAGAGCACTACTTTTGCCCAGAGCTCTATGGGCAAAAGTCTATGGGTCAAAAGTAGTGTACTAATAAAGGGAATTGGGGTGCCATTTGGGATTCAGCCCTAGAAGTGTGTGTGCATGAGGGAGCATTTGTGTGGGTGAATGTGTTGTATGTCGGGGTTGTTAGGTGAATGGTTGTTCTCCAGCTGTGTGGGAGGATGTGTGTATTTGTGCGTATATCTGAAAAAAATAAAAATAATGGGAAAAAAAATATCTGCCTTGCATGTGTGTGGGTTGACTGCTGTGTGTGGGTTGACTGCTGTGTGTGTGTAGGTGGATCAGACTGTACTGCTTCCATCTCTCAACTTCTCTCTCTTCCTCCCCCCCCCCCCCCCCCCCCTCCCTTCTCCCTCCTCAGATCGCCACGCCTCTCCTCCTGTTGTCGACGAGACCAAATCTCAGCAGCACGTCGTTTCTGCTGCCGACCGGGAGCGCCAGCAGCCAGTTTCCATGGAGACCAGCCCCGGCAACAAGAGTTATTCTGCTGTAGCGGGAGCCACGGTGACTGCGGTAGTAACGTCATCGGTAGCGGCGCTGGGGAGTAAAGATGTTCTGTCTTCAGGCTGTGAGGACGACAAGGACAGGATCGTAGTGGAGATCGTTCAGATGTACAGCAGACAGCAGGAGAAACTGCACTCCACCCTTCACAAACAGCTGCAGCTAGAGATGGTGAGAGACAAGACACACAGTGAGACAACTGGAGATTGTCTACTCCACCCATAGAAACAGATTTAGCCAGAGAGTCAATAGCATAAAACAATGTTTCTCAATCTATTCATCAGGGACTCCTCAGGTCTTCTTTGTTCCTACCCAGCACTAACACTCCTGATTTAACCAACAAGAGGGCTTGATAGACCAAACAACCAAGACGTTAGGGTGTCTTGAAAATATTGAGTCCCCCCAATTCATTGAATTCAACATGTTGCATTTTTTAAAATCATCAGCAGGCATAGGACAGCATTTCAAAAGCATTTAGTATATCCCTGAACCTCTCAATGAACTGAACTGCTTATGGGGAATGTAACTGACCATCCCCTGTATCTCTCTCTCTGTGTCTCTCTCGCTCTCTCTCTGTCTCTGTGTGTGTAATACACTGTCATTTAGAGCTATGTAATTGACCATCCCCTGTATCTCTCTCTCTGTCTCTGTGTGTGTAATATACTGTCATTTAGAGCTATGTAATTGACCATCCCCTCCCCGTCTCTAGGAGTTGGAGGCGCTGCGTGGAGGCGAGGCAGCCAGGCTGCAGCAGTTGTCTGCAGAGCAGCGTGAGCTGCAGAGTGAACTGGAGGCGGTCCACACTGAGCACGCCCAGAGGCTGGGCCAGGTGAGGGAGGAACAGAGGGAGTTGGAGCACAGGCTGGAACAGCTGCGACGGCAGAGCTGTGTGTGTGACAACATACACACACACCAGGAGGCACACTACGCCAACCAGGTAGGCACTGGAGAGACACTCGCACACACCACCACATCCTGCTTGACCTCAGACAACACAACACTTAGTCAGTCAGTCTAGGAAAATATACTCATATCTGTTCCTCATATCTGTTTGTGACACTGTAGTGGTGTGTGGTGTGTAGAGGACACTGGGTCTTTGTTTGGGTTTCCTGTACTGAGCTTTATCTCGAGATAGTGCTGCTGGGCTCAACTCAGGGAGGAATGTAACACACACACACACACACACACACACACACACACACACACACACCCCTCCTGTCCTGCTGTCTCCTTCAGCCTTGGCGTCTGGCTCAGACTGTCTGGCTGTGTGTCTGTGTCCAAGTGTGTGAGTGTCTGTGTGCTGTTCAGACAGTTCAGACTAACCTGACCTCATCTCTCTCACTCCTTCTTTCTTCCTCCCCTCCTCCCTTCCCTCCTCCCTTCCCCCCTTCCCTCCCCCCTCCTCCTTTCCTTCCCTCCCTCCCTCCTCCTCTCTAGCTGGCGGAGCTGCGTAGGAGGTTGGATGGTGCCGAGGCTGACAGGGAGGAGCTCCAGGAGGAGTTGAAGAGGGAGCGGGACACCCGGGAGAAGCTGGATAGGATCATCTCTCAGCTCAAACACCAGATGGACCAGACGGCCTCTTCCTCATCTTCCTCCTCCTCAGCCACCACAATCGCTACAGGGAGCCCCTCTTCACCCCCCACCCCCTCCACACACACACCCCACACAGAGGGACGCACCGCAGGCCTCGAGCAGCAGAACGGCCACGCTCAGAAGTAGCCCCTCACAAAATGCCCCTTTTCCATTTGTCTCTCAACCCCCCAACCCCCCTCTGTTTTGTTCCTCCAACCTACTCCCTCACCCCCTGCTGGCAGAAACGGCAGCCCTAGACAGACAGAGCACTGCTTCTCTCCTCTCTGTCTCACCCGTTACCTTCCTCATCCCTCCCTCATCTTTAGTTCTTTGGAAAAGGAACTCTTGTTTTTATTTAATATCACATCAAATTAGTTATGTTTTTTTTTTTTATTCCTCATACCCCCTATCCTTAAACAGTATTTACATTTTGGGAAGGATATGTTTGTTTTAATTTATAGTTTTACTGAACAAACGGATGACTGCTTGGCAGACAGTTGGAGTTGGGTGTTTTTAGGACCCTCCCTCCTTCCTTGGATCGTGGACTTGATGTGTTCTAGCCCACACAGAGACTGGGAAGTCAGTCAGACAGAAAGACAGTTCTCTCCTGGCCCTGCCCCTTGACTCTGTTCTGAACTGTGGTTCCACTAGCGCTCAGTCGCTCTTTCTACTACTACCTTGCACGCCAACTGGAGCCAAGATGGTGCCCGTGTGGGTGCTCTCCATCTCTGTACGTACACCCAGCCCAGCCACTCTGGACCAGCTACCAGCCACACACAGCAGGAGACTGCATTGACAGACATTTTCATTTAGCCTTTGTTTGTTTTTGTACTCCTTATACCTATTAATTGCAAAGAAGAGAAAAGTTAAAAGAAAAAAATTCTAAATGTGTAAAACATAAAGGTATATGAAAACATTATTGTACAGAGCATTTGCAGTCATCATTGTTAAACCTCATGAAAATGCTGAAGTGATATGATTTTAAGATGTAAAGACATAAGAGTGATGCGACTCTGAGGACTGCTGAGGTTGTGAACTGGAACAACAACAAACCCCTGAACTAGTCTGGCTAGGTCTGTCTTGATAGGGCATGTCTCACACACACGCACCAAATTTCCTCGTAGAAATCTGTAGTTTAGGCTGTTTTGATTTGATTTCCCTGTTGGCAGCAGTTGGTGTGTTTGCCATCCTCTCCTCCTTGTGAGAACAGCAGCACCTAGCTGTCTGCCTGGTGGAATGTGAGTTACAGGTGAAAGGAGTTGGTGCAGACTGACACACTGTGTGGTGTGGGCTGGCTGCTGCTTTGGATCCAGGCCCCTGTACCCTCCGTGTTATTCCAACTCACTGAACAAACAGAGCCAGAGAGGGATGGAGGGAGGGATGGCGGGAGAGGCGGGAAAGACAAGGATAGAGGGAGGAGGTACAGTCAAGCGGAGAGAGAAATGGAGGCGGGGAAGAGAGGAGCGGAAGAGAGACAGTCAGGCGGAGAGAAAAAGTAAGAAAGGGGGGTGGAGGTAGTGCAGGGGGCTGATGCCCTCTCTCTCTCAGGCTGGGTGGGCCAGTAGCGTGAGCGGATGATGTGGGGGGAATGGAGAGAGGAGCCCCTTTTGTCCCTGTCAGAATTGGGGCAGCTGCTATAGTCTGGGGCCTCTCTCTCTCCTGCCCCCGGGGAGCTGGTACAGGAGCCCCTATCTCTGACACACATACACACACACACACACACACTACCGCCATCTCTCCCTCCCACAAACGTGCACACACACACAGAACAGGGGTTTTGTCTAGATGCCAGGCAGTCTTTCTTTTATAGCCTCCCAGGCAGACTCAGAGCCAGGCAGCGTGTAAATAGTATTGGGCTTGGCTTTAACTCCAAGCTGATTTTTGTATGCATCTGCTGTACATGCAAGTTGATAGACATTCCACTGTGCTCAACCTTTCAATGCAGATCTCTAAAGAAAGAGTTCCCTACAACATACTCGATGCTCTGCCAGAGTACTAAAGTATAGTAGGTCTTATTTTGTTATCGATTCTCAACATTTCAACTACGCTACAAAAACAATGAAACTAACACCCTTGGTGTCTGACGTGAAGTTCACTCGCATGCAGAAAAATCCAATCCATACTGCAAATGTATGCTCTCTACCGACCATTGTTGCATATAAACCTTTCTTGGAAATTGTAAAAAAAATAAAGAAAGAAAAATATATTTAATGTATTAACTAAAGATTTATATTCACTTTGTACATACATTAGTCATTTAATATATTAACTATGTTATTATGGGATAATCTTCTAAAGGTTATTATAATATTGACTGGACCAGACCAGGCCTGAGGCTCTAAACAGCCCTGATGTTTTTGTTAAGTGAATCTTGACTTGTTGTTGTTGTTTACCCTGTTAAAGGGACACGTGGCAATATGACATAATACGCAGCGGAGTGACTTCCTGTTTACAGATTATCAACAACCTAATTCAAGATTGACACTTGGCTCTTTCAAATTTTTGGAGGCGTGCCTACATTGGGACAGACCAATAGTGGCAGTTTTGGCAGATTTGAATTTGTTGTCGCTCTGCTGTGTATGATGATATCATATTGCGGAGTGCACCTTTTAAAGGATGTAAACTTGCTTTTGGGAGTTGAAATGCATGGTGTTCAGATGCGACCACCTGACACAGGACAGAGGTCAGAGTTGAATAGGAAAGAAAGAGCGTTGTTACAGTACTTCCCCAGAACGGATTGCTTTCATTTGTTTATTTTCAGGATGATTTCACCTTGATAGACTGTTGATGTATAAGCTTTCTCCCTTAATACCTTCCCCTTTTGTACGCTAAACCCCCACCCCAGACAATTTGAAAATGCACCGAACATTTGTTTATAAAAAGAAACAAATTGAAAACAAACCAAAAACGAAAGTTTGCATGTAACGAGTGGATCGATACCCCTAATTTGTTTTATGTCAGTTGAATGATTTCTTACTTCTCACTGAGCCACTCAATTGATATGTTTATGTCAAAAAGAAAAAGGGTCTGTCCTAAATGGCACCCTATTCCTGTTGTAGTGCACTATATAGGGGATATGGTGCCATTTGGGATGCCACCAGTGTCTCCAACGTACAAGTTGTTGACCTGTCTCACTACTAGCATGGAGACACATTGACTGAGGGCATCTGAGCTAGTTAGGCCGTTGAAATATACTTTTGGCTTTAGAAGATGGCTAAATGGAACTAAAGTCCAACTACCTAATCATACCATACAAGTAGCCTCATTAGATTCTGCAAAGATGAGAGAAGTGTGTGTGTCTGAGTTTGTGTCTGAGCGGATGTATGTGTGTATGCCATCGATTTGAAAGTGACCGAAGCACAGCAGCTATGAAAAAGGGAGAGACTTATTCTCAAGTAGCGCTGTGGTTTTACTCATTTTTGTCCAACACAGAGACCCTGTCCTCTTGGGGCTATAGAAACTTTGTAACTGCATTGTGTTTACATCACAAGATAATCAGTATTAGGTAATTATGGCGATAATAACAAACCTATCTCAACAGTCTTCTGCATTTCGTTTTTTAACAATCGTTTTGGGGTATCTAATGTATTTCTGTATTTAAAAAAAAAAGTATGTCGGAGTAAATTGCATTTTATATATACAAGAGGGCGCTCTATATCGACTTTAGTTGAATGCCATAATAATGATATGATAGATACAATGGATTCAAATAAGAAAACAAATACTATACTATAACATAGCGGGCTGGGCCCTCTTGCATTCGCAGTGTTATGAGAACTAAAATACTGTGTCCCAAATGGCACCCTGTTCCCTACATAGTGCGCAACTTTTGTCCCAAGCCCTATGGGCCCTGGTCAAAAGTAGTGCACTATATAGGGAATAGGGTGCCATTTAAGACAAAACCTAAAACAGATGTGCTTTGTACAGTTATTTCTTTTTATAGGGGTGCAGTTTGCCCAACTCACTACTTACTAGACCATTAAGCTTGGTCCTGGCCTTGCTTCAGAAGCACAGCTAAACAGTAACTAGCGTTTCCATTTTATTTTATTTTACATACATCCCCAATGGATTGTTCCCAGACTTAAAAGGATAGTTCAGCAATTTTAGATATCTAAAAATGTAAAATCGCTGAACTATCCCTTTAATGAAGAAGGCGATGTAGTGTAGAAGTGGCACTCTTTAACAATAGCAACAAGTTGCATTTTGGATCTGCAAAATAATGCTGGATCAATTGTTTCCATTTATGTGTTGTAGTTGGATATTTATTTACAAACACCATTCTTATTTACCAGCGTGGGAGGTAGGACATTAGGCCATTACACCTTGTTAATATGATTTCACAAAATGGTTTATTATTATTATTTATGCCTGGGATAGACATGCCATGTTTAGAGTTTAAACTTAGTAGGCTACACCTGACAAATCATAGTTTAAAGAAGAAAAATGTAATCTTTTTATGGCTTTGTTAAAAATAATTCAAAACAGTTCTCTTTTTATGCTATATTCTGAAACCTGTATGGCAGTGAGTGTCTATGTATGGCCATTGCATACCATGTTTCCAACAACGATACAGTGTGATTGAGAAGTTTGTTTTTTGCATGAAACGAGACACTGTTCTCCTACCTCATGTTGTGATATAAAATGTTTTTTAAGCAGAGGACACTGCATCTTTAACCATTGATCATAATTGATATTTACTAGTAAATGATGACATACCTGTACTTGCTTTTAGCTAATACCTCAGTTGTATATCTAGTGTTCAGTTTTTTTTCTCCCTCATTTCAGATCTCATAAATATACACTGTATAGACAATGAACTTGGATCAAATTCAAGTAAAGTTCTGTAGTGTCACAATTGGTGTCATGAATCTTCTTTTCTTCGGGACTCAAGACTGATGTCACGTGTTGTCGTAGACTATCACTGATAGTTTAAAGTAGAATAGATCTTTATTATCCCTCATAGGCAATTAGCAGTACATCAGCCAGTCAAAGTATATACAAATACTATAACTAGAGTACAAAATACAAAAAAACATAACTGTACATCATAAAATGAACGTGTTACATTGTATGCATCATTATCCAAAATGCAGCAATAGCCTACACATCAAGTAGACAGAACTAAGTGAAAGTGAATATGCAGATAT